ATATATATATATATATATATATATAAACATAATGACCAATAATTAATGAATGATATTTTTTTGATTTTTTTTTGTATATTATCTACTAATAGTCAATTTTACAAGTTTATCTAATCTTCTTGTATTTTTATTTATTTATGCTAAATAAATCTCAACAGGCTAATTTTTTTTAAAATAATTAATTTTGATAAGTTTTAAACAGAATAAATGTGACTAATAAAATAGTAACTCATATAACAATTATACTAAACATAATAATTGAAAATTTGAATCAATAAAAAATTTAATACAATTTATCTTTCTAATAATTAAAAATAAGATGATGACACAATTTTTTTAATAAAATTATTATTAAAATAGAAATTACATGAGAATAATCACATGGACACACAAAATAAATGAGACATAAGGTAAATGTACAAAAATTATTTAGGTTAAAAACCTCTTTTCGTCCCTAACATTATTTAATATTTTCAATTTAGTCTCACTTTAATTTTTGGTCTCAATTTGGTCCCTAATAACTTAAATTAGTGCAATTTGGGACTTCCGTCTAAATGATTTAGACGGAGTTAACTTTGGCCACGTGGCATCTACGTGGATGCCACGTGGATGCGCACGTGAACGCCAAAATTCTTGAAAAAACCTGAAACCAGAACGGCCCGTTCTGAATTCAGAACGGTCCGTTCTGAAACCAGAACGGGTCGTTCTGATAGTAGAACGGGCCGTTCTGGTTTTAGAACGGGCCGTTAATTCAGGGTTTAGGGGTACCTCCTCAAGAACAGGTTGCTATTGTTGGGGTACATCGTCAATGACTTTAAGGAAAAACACTGTTTCATTTTATCCTTGATTGTATAGTGTCAATTTGGTAGTAAGTAGTTCACTCCAGTTTGACTAACAATGAAATAAAACCTGTTATCATTGTCCTTAGTGATACACTGCATCATCCTTAATGATATACTGTATAACCCAAATGTTTAGCGATTGAAGTTATTAATCCTCATTAACAATATTATTAAATCTAGTGTTTAAAATGCTTTGTATTTTCCCTAAAAAAAATGCTTTGTACTTTGTTTTTTTTTACGAAATTCTGGACCAAAACTGCCCGTTCTGAAACCAGAACGGCCCGTTCTAGTTACACTGTTGATGTGTTAATTTTGGACTTGGAACGGCCCGTTCCAGGTGCAAATTTTACACATCAATAATGTAACCAGAACGGGCCGTTCTGGTTCCAGGTGTATTCAAATATTTTTTGATCTACCTACGTGGCATCCACCTGGCATCCACGTGGCCACCAGTTAACTCCGTTTAAATCATTTGGACAGAAGTCCCAAATTGCAACGATTTTAATTATTGGGGACTAAATTGAAACCAAAAATTAAAGTGAGACTAAATTGAAAATATTAAATAATGTAAGGGATAAAAAGAGATTTTTAACCAATTATTTAAATAAATGATAAGATTGTACAAATAAGAAAAAACTTAAAAGATTCACAAAGTACCATAAAATTAGCCAAAAGGATAAATAAACTAAAATAAAGGTACGAAACCAAAAGAGGTTGAAAAGATTTTTAGCAATGAAATTTTTTTGTTGTTGGAGACAATTCTTATGATTTTTAAATGGGTAATAAATTTTTTTGGAAGTTGAATAAACAATGACAAAAATGAATAGTTATACTCTTATTTTTTTAATTTGAAAAGAAAATTCTTCATGAATACTAGAGTCTTTGAATTTCAAATGATTTTTTTAGGTGTAGCCTTATATCTTGTAATAAGTATTTAATAATGTAATTATGTAAAATAAATATTATGTACCTAAATTGAGAGACTATCAATTAATAATAAATATAATAATTTTTAAGTAAATAATTATAATAAAGATGCTATAAAATGGTAACAAATTACTTTAATAACTATAGTATTATTTGACTATAACAAAAAATTGAAATAATATTATTGTATGTTATACGAAATGAAGGTGATAAGAGTGATGCTATTATATTTTATTCTCAACTCTTTTTTTATTTAAATTTAGAAAAATATTCTATATAATTTAGAAGAGAAAAATATTCTATTAGTTTACTTATGTTGCTATCAATTTGTTGATTTTAAACTAATTGATATTGTACATTACACTTATTTATAAAAAAGAAAAAGAAAAAAGGATGTTGTTGTTTTGTCTCCTCTAAAAAATTTAAAATAGAAAATTGGTAATTAAGAACCTATTTCAAGGAAAAAAAATAGAGACCTTAAATGTATATGCAAATATTAATCTAATCGATGATTTATTATTTATTAACAATCAACTATCACTACAAGAGAAATCTAAATTATCGACGGATAATTTTTGACGGTTACAAATCCATTAGAAAATTTATATCTTTGACGGAAAATAAATTCGTAGGAAAAGTTATATTACCAACGGATACAAATCTGTTGAAAAATTTATATTTTCGACAGATACAAATCTGTCAGAAAATTTATATTTCTGATAGAAAAAAAATTCATAAGAAAAGTTAATTACTATTGGAATATGAACTTATCTAAAATGTCTATCAAAATCAATTGTATTTTACTAATACACATAAATTTTTTGAAAGGAATACTTGTGAATAACTAATTTTATCCGGACCCACAAAAATAATGAAATAGACGTCTAATATGAAGAGAAGGAGCTCCCAAAGTATGGAGGCAACACCATATGACAACAAGGAAGCTTGAAGCCCAAACAAGTTGATTTTAAGATCCTAGAATGGGCTATTCCAAAATCGGAACGGGTCGTTTCTAAATTGGAACGAGTCATTCCAAGTTACTAAAAAGACCTAAAATCCTAATTGAGAACGGGCCGCGTTCTACCTTTAGAACTGGTCGTTCTAGGTTCAAATTTAACTCATAACTAAATGATCCAAAACAGGCCGTTCCAATCTGGAACAGGCTGTTCGGGTCAGATCTGACGTATATAAATAGTAGACTCGGACACTGTTCTTAGGACCGGAAAAAAATCGTCCAGGATTCCTTATAGCTCGAAAATTCTCTCTCTTTATCCTATTGTATTTCTTGATATTTGTGAGGCAATTGTCTAGTGTAAAAGGTAGCCAAAAAACATATAATAGATCATCATATTAGAAGATTCAACACAATAACAAGTTTAACAATTTATTCGCCTCACATTGGTTATCATATTCTTTTCTTGAATTTTTTTTTTTTATTTTTTTAGTCTTTTGATTTGTTGAAAATAATTGTGTATACAGAGTGAATATGATTTGTTGTCTTCAAGATTATTGTTTAGAAAGTATTCAATATACAATAAATAATAACCTTAATTGAGTAACATTTTTTTTTATCTTTAACGTTATTTGATTACGAGAGTTTAATGACTAGCCACTTGTTAGCTTGAATTCTTGTGTAAAGATTTTTTCAAACTTAGGAAAATCATCATCTTTCACTCAAATAATAATTCCAAATATTTTACTATAATTAATAGCGTTATTTGAATAACAATGCTATTTTTTATGTTGTTTTGAGAGTTTAATAATTAGTCATTTGCTAACTTAAATTTTTATACAAGTTTTTATTTTAAAATAAATAAATAAAAGATATTTATTTCACATATAAATTATCTTCTCGTATGTAACGATTTATGATGTTAATTGAGTAACGTTTCTACGTTTAATATCATGTAAATCATAAAAGCTTATAGAATAATCATTGACTATCCTAAGTTTTTTGCACAAGATAAATTAAAAATTATCATTTTATGAAAACAAAAATGATTATTTATAACATTAATTGAATAACAATTTTATCTTTAATGTTGTTGTAAGGGTTTATTGATTAGTCATTTGCTAACCCAAATTCTTATAATTTTTTTAAATAAAAATACAAAAGAAGCATGTCTCACATTTTTAATATATATATATATATATATATATCACAAGATAAGAAGACAAATCACATCTCTTTTCCTAGTAATAATGAGCCTCACAATAAAAATGCTAAAAGGCATCATTTTCCTAGTTGTCT